CAATGGTCTATCAGTTGAAGTTCCTTATCCAAAACGACTCCTAAATATTTTATCGTTTCCACGCGCTCTAGCAATCCTTTCTAATTTCCACATATTATCAAGGTCCTTCATAAACAGATAAATAACGCTGTTATAAAAAAACAAAACAAAATTGTTAATTTTACATATTATACATCTTAACACCTTAACGCAGTTTTCTTGAAAAAAACGACCAAAAGAATCAATTTTTTTAAAGTAAAAAAACAATTTAGAACATTATCTTGGCAAAAAAATTAAAAAAATACAAAATTATTTAGAATTTTTATAGCAGCATAGAATACAATGCCGTTCGAGTTAACTCGAGCGTGCAACTTAAGGGGTTAATTTAAAATATAGTTTATTTAGTATAGTATATTATATGAATTATTTACAAAGTTGATAAATAACAATATATGAAGATTTTAGGTTTTAAAAGAAATAAATAAAAAAATTAGGTGTCCGACACAATATGAGGAATGCAGTTAATGTCATTAGTGGTGGCTAAAGAACACTTTGGAGAACATTTTCTTCAGTTAAATATAATATTAACCGTTTTCAAGATTTACAGCAAGATGCTAGATAGAAAATTTTCTTTCGTGTTTGGAAAAAGTAAGAGTACGCCAGGATGGAATAGCTCAGTGATAGCTCAGTTGGAACTTAACATTATCATAAGCTTACCTTATAATAACGAAAAAAAGAGAATGAGAAAAAATATCATGTGTGCAAACACACGTGTTAGAAGTGAAACCTTCAAAAAACTAAGTTTTTAGAGAATGAGACGAATGCAGAGTATCAAGAGTAAGATAATTGTAGAATTTCTTTATTATAATATTGTTACCATATACAGGTAACCCTCCAACAACACGGTATCTCATGACACAGTTTCGTTATAACACGATTAAAAATTGCAGGAAATATTCCTATAACACGGCATCTTATAACACGATTCATAATTGCGGAACCCTCCTATAAAATGGCATTCTATGAAACGGTTTTCTTTAAAAAAAAAACTTTTGTACAACACTATACTTTTGCAGTCGCGGCGAGGCTTACCGTCTTAAAGATACAGTATGTGGAAAGTATTTCTTTTCATCTACATTGCCTAAAAACAAAAGCGTCTCACGCAGCTGTGAACTGAAAACACAACAACCGTTTTTAATTGTTACCGTCAACGGTTCTCTCCTTGGTAACCATCAACGGTTTTTCATAAACAACCGTCAACGGTTATCTTCCTAGCAACCGCCAACAGTTTTCCAATTGCTATAAGAAAGAACTAAATAATTAGTTTTATCGTCTACAATTGATATATCAATTAAAGAAGAGATTAAATTTTTCATCAATATTACCTTTTAATTTGCCTTCCAGTAACTCAAAGTTTTCTATCTTATAAACATTTGTCATATTTTTTACCTTTTTATCCTCTTTTAATGATTTTCACATTTTTGCTGATTTGTTTCTATTAACAAAATAATAACCTAATAAAATTTCTTTTTTTTTGAAGTGAAAACTTCTTTAGAATATGGAGTGATTTAAAAAAATGACTAAACTCGTAACCTAGAAATCGGCGTAAATAAAAGCACCTAACCAGTATATATTGGTTTCAATTGTTCTGGGAATGCTTCCTTATTCCATATTAATTTAATTAATTTGTGGATTTCTGTAATTAAATTATTGTTTTTATTTTTCATTAGTTCCGTCCTAGCTTGGAATCCCTTTTTAAGTCTATTTATTCCCAAGTACATACCACAGACGTTAATGCTTTAGCATTTTTTGTTTATTTCTTCTATTTTCTATTTTAGATAGTGTTGCTACTTGTTTTAAAACGAATTATGCGTCGCTTGCTTAATATTGCGAAACTGGTCCCAGGTTTCATCCGTGTTTTAAGTTAGCTATGTGATACGCACTTCGATAATATAATAATAAATAATTTTTTATAACAAATACTTAACTTAATTAAAAAAATTATAATAAACACTCAGTATATTCAATGTTAACATGAAAAGTGTAGAAAATTATGAGTGTAAATTAACCAGACAGCAAGCAAATAAAAAAATAAAATACTCATATTAAGAATATAATTTTTAAATTGTTAAAAAAGCACATATTAAAAACTCTCATATATAAATACGCATTTGTTTTTTAATTACAATTTTTTAAATATTATTTTACATGGGTTAGTATCAATTTTTTTTTAATTTGTCTGCAAAATTCATACCCATAGAAAATTAATTAATTTTCTATATAACCTCACGTATAAACAATTATTATACTAGACATAATTAAAATAAATTAATTATTTTCTGATTATTGATTATTATTTATTTGTAATTATTTATTAAATAATAAAGAGAGAGAGAGAGAGAGAGAGAGTAATAATTTATAAATAATATTATAAGGAAATAAAAAATACCTCAGTAAATCTCAATGATACAAAAATAATTTAAAAAAGATTATAAAAAGAACTTTTATTAGAAATATTCACAAACAATCAATGTTTTTGAAGATATTCAAAGTTACTTAATATCAATCATCAATATAAGTAAGAATTTAAAACACATAAAAAATTGTTATCTGTACTGATATAAAGCACGTGTTGCGTCTATAGAAATACAAGAATAAATATTTTAACTATACCTATTAGTCCACACTAAACTTAAGGGAAATTTATCGACTAGATTTATGCTATTAATTGTATGTTGCTATGCCACCGCATCGTAAAAATTCACTCTTATCGTTTTTTCTATAACGTGTTAAAAGAAATATAACTTTAAAAAGTGATACGTCTCGTATGAACAAACAAACAAACAAACAAACAAACAAACAAGCAAACAAACAAACAAACAAACAAACAAACAAACAAAC